GCCTTACAGGCAATTGCAAGGAGTTCGGTCCTTTCTCTGAGTAGCTTCTGGAGGCTTCTGAGCAGAAGAATAACGTGGTTTGGTATCTGTTTTCCCCAAATCACTGTGACTGCTGAGTGAAAAACAGGCTATAGGGGAGTCAGGCTGGAAGTAGGGAGACAGCTAAGAAGCTATTGCAGGCTTCTGTGAAATACCGCCATAAATCATTTCAAGGTTCCAGGTTCAGGGGGATTATACCGTAGGACGTTAAATGAATGAACAAATGAGGCAGAAGAAGGCATGATGGCCATCTTTGTGAAATCGTAAAATGAGAGCAGTATGATGGTCACATGTTTCTAACTTCAAAAAACACTTAATTCTGGATTCTGTGAGCCAGTCATTATTAAAATGTGATTCACAGGGCAGCAGAATCATCTGTGGGTGTGTTAGAAATGTAAAATTGGGGGCCGCACCCATTTCTACAGAATCGGCAACTCTGGGGTGGGGCCTGGCAAGCTGTGTTTTAACAAGATGTCCTCCAGGTGATTCCGATGCTAAATTTTAAGGACTGCTGGTGTAAACTTGAATGGTGAAATGAGATGGCCTGAAAGGTCCATTTCTATTTTAGTATACTGAGCTTCCAAGCTTTCAAGTTTAAATTGTAACATTTACTTTCATCACAAAATTAAGTATAGTCCTTGAGAAAAATGGTTTATTTACATGAAGCATTGACTCATATAGAGAAATTAATCTGAGAATAAATAAATCTTTTAAATCTCATATTTAGAGAAATTTGACCTTTATGTATTACATCCTACCTCTTTATAAAAAGTGGTGTAAAATGGTATGTTATTTTTTTAATCAATGCACAATAGGAAGTTGAAAACAAGGAAAATGTAGACAGTAAACTTTTTAAAGTCTGTTGATTAATGAAATTACTCTTTTAGAATGTACATTTACCTCTGAGGCTCCTAGGTTTAACATTTTCAGAGTAAAAGCGATACATTTTATATAACTCAAAGAAAGAAACCTCAGATTTTAAGTCAGTATGACCACTATGAAGCCTTTTGATGGTCAGATTTGATCCAGGAGAATGGAGAATGTCTGGAACATGTAGAGGAGTGGATACATACAAACGTTGAGTTGTTCACTGCACGATACCTTGGTGATTTAGCCATTTGAAGTTATCTCCTTGATAAGGGCCTCAAATCCTAAATCCAAATGAGCAGGTATTAGGGTAGCACTATTTCAGACATGAAAGATCCAACCAGTATTCCCACCCAGATGGAAGGCTGCCGCTTCCCCATTGAGAAACGCTGCCAGGTAGCTGCTGGCGAAGCCTGGGCTCCTCAGTGAGCAGCTCTGGGTCTGGCTTCAGCCCTTGCACAAAGAACTGGGTCCCCAGAGTTTACACCTAATGCATGACAGAAATAGCTTTGATCTGGAAAATTCTGAAGCAGGTACATCATGCTGTCAACATAAAAGAGGAGAAAGTGGATCGAAAGGAAAGAAAATAGCATAAATGGCTAAAAGGAGTTAAAAGATAAACGAAGGAGACGGGATGATGGTTAAAAACAATGGAGCTAGAGTAAGATAAAAATTAAAAAAACAAACAAAAACCATAAAACACTGGGGACTAGAATATCTTTAAGGATAAAAAAAAATTGTCAAGATAAACTAAAATAACACAAAAGTGACTATAAACAAGCTCACTTAAAAAATTCAATTGCTGATATTAGTATACAGCTAATAACATCAATAGTAAAAATAAAAATGGGTTAAGGAAAATAAAATTGAAGCAATGTTATCCAAGGTTCTTCAGCTAGTGATACCTACCCTTTCCAGGGGAAGGCCTTTGTCATGCTTTTTGAGCTACCACTTCCTCATTTGTGGCAAGAACTTCCCCTTAATTCCCCAAATGCTAAAATTCTATTAAGGTAAAATTTCAAAGGCAGGCTATCCGTTTGGGGGGATCTCCAGTTCCAACACTACATTATATAATCAGGAAGTAAAGTTTCTGAATCATCTTATCTCTTCACCTTCTAAAGGGGATTCATTGAATTTAACTAATTTTAGCCAACAGAAGACTTATTGGATTAAATCTTGTGTGTGTGTGTGTGTGTGTGTGTGTGTGTGTGAAATTAAATTGAAGATATCTGTCAAGCAATGTTACCTAGTGTTCCTTACACTATATTCTAAACAAAATTTATTCCCTCAGTTTAGTTCTTGGAGAAAGTTTGTCTTTTATACAGTCTTTAAAAATTGTTGTTTTGGTTTTTTTCCTAAAATAAAATCCATGGGATATGGTGTGCTTCCATGTTTTCTTAGCTTACTGGGAACAATTAGAGCTAAATTCCACCCTTGACTGTATAAAGCACCCATCTCCTAGTCTTAGTAACCTCTATTCTTTTTCTTCAGAGCAGTCCTCTCAAATTGTAATCCATGTGCCATCTGCACCACATTCATTTAGGGAGCTTGTTGAAAATGCAGGTCTCTGGTCGCCCTAGATCAGCGGTTTTCAACCTGTGAGTCGTGAGCTCTTTGGGGGTCGAATGACCCTTTCACAGGGGTCGCCTAAGCCCATCAGAAAACAAAAAGATATTTACATTACGATTCATAACAGTAGCAAGATTACAGTTATACAGTAGCAACGAAAATAATTTTATGGTCACCACAACATGAGGAACTGTATTAAGGGATCACGGCATTAGGAAGGTTGAGAACCACTGCCCCAGACCAACTTTTTTTTTCTGAATATACAGAAGCTGAACCCAGAAATTTCAGTGTTTAAGAAGTAGCCCAAATGATTCTTATGCTCACGAGGTTCAGAACTGCTTGAAAGAGTCTTCACTGTCTCTTAACTCAAACAGTGCAATTTTGTATTATGGTTAATCCATAGCCATGGTCTGCTTTTAAAGATGAGTGAGACAGAGATCGTATTATATTAAGACATCATGCAACTTGAACTATGAGGCCTCAGCTGGAGCATGAGGACGTATGCAAAAATCACAACTATTTCCCATGGGTACTTGAGATTGGAAAATAATCTCTCCCATTTGGAACCCAGACCAGGAGATATATTTTCTCTGATCCATGAATCAGTGATTTGCAAAAGGGTAGGGAGAAGAGAGGGATCACAGGCAGATCAGAACCATCTGGGATGCTTTCTCGAATTCCACTCTCCCGCTCCTCCTTAACTTCTTAGCCCCGCTTTGATATTCAGCCCTCCTTACATCACCTCCTTCCATGAACCCAGAGAAAAGGCCTCAAATAGTTTGGAAAGGTATCTAAATTGACATTTTGGTTATTTAACATTATACTCACTATATATATATTTGGCTGGAGACCAAGTTATTTAAAACCCAGTTACTTATGTGCTATGAAAAAAAGTAGCATTTATTAAGCTTGTGGCTGTAAAGGAGATGGAACTCATATTTATTGAAGGGTTATACATTTATTTAGTAATTTAATGCTTCAAGCTCCAACTCATGGGTCTGTCTGATGGGTATTATTAGTATTATTGTCATTTTATAGGAAATAATAACTATAACACTATTTTACTATTATTTCTTTCTCTAATATTACTAAAACCTCCAGCTTTTATGGCAAACCACTTTTTACCAGCTAGTGTACAAGTGGGTTTATGTGTGTGTGCATGTGTGTGTGTATGTGTGAGAATCTTATTTAATTCTAACAACAACTTTGTTTCACTAGATTATAATCCTTATTAACAGATGGGAAGCTAAGAATTAAGTAACATGGTCACTAGCATATAACTCATAAATCGCAGAACCAGCTCTGTGTTGCTACAAAACGAAAGGTAAGGGAAGAAAGGCAGAGGCCAGATCACAAAGGCACTTGCACACTTTGCTGAAGTGACTGTAAGTCACTGAGAGCCAATGACAGATTTTCAATAAGGCGAGGAGACATGTTTTGGAAAGGTCACTCTGATGACAAATTCGGGAAAAGATTGATGGTTTAGGAGCGAGTTCTCATCTGGAAACAAAGATTTTAAAAGATCATGTACAAAATTTAAAAAGTGAGATTTAATGGGTTTTTTTTTGTTGTTGCTTGTTTTTATTTATTTTTTTTGTCATAATAAATTATAAAAGGGGATTTACTGGTGAGAATCCATGAGCAGTTTGTTATGGTTGTTAAGTTGGCTTATGGGCATTGTATAAATGAACTGAAGGAAATATTGTTTTAAACACCAATTGCTGATTTTAAAATTACAAATATTGTCCTTTGAAATAATTACTATTGGGTTGCCAGAAAAGTCATGACGTATTTTTTACATGTTTTTCGTTGCAAAAATGCATCATGACTTTGCCCAATAGTTTAACTGGGCTAAGCCATTGCTGACATTGATCTCTGACAGGAATGTGATATCAGATTGTTATATTTTGGTTAATGGCATGCCTTGGTGTAGCCTGCTGGGTTTTCACCTCTGCTTGTCTAAAACTTACTCTTAGTAGTCACAGAATAATGCTTATTGCTCTTATCTTAGTCATACCATCAAATGGGATTTTAGGTGAACAAGAAAAGGAGCTGAAAGGGAACTAGAATAACGACCCACAACACCAAGGTGGACCGCACATTCCACTTGGTCTGCCTCTTTGGTCTTTCTGGCATTTGAAGAAAAGAAACAAAGGGGAAGTAAAGAGGGGAGAGAAGTGAAAGAAGTGGGGGGTGAAGAGCAGGAAGATACTCAGGAGCTCCAGCATGCCCTTCAGAAAGAATACATGAATCAAGCTGCCAACGAAGGAAGGAAAGCCCCGCCCCTGCCCCAGCATCCTGGCAGTGGTTCCTGGCCCCATCCTTCCTTAGCACACCAGGGCACACTGCTTGCAGGGTCAAACAACCTGCTTTGCATCAATCCTGCTTTGCATCAATCCTGCTTTCTCCATTGAGCGCTATAAGTAAACAAAGTGCGAAAACCCAGAACCAGAGCCAGAGCATCCCCTTCAGTCCAAATGCCAAAGATGCCAGACTAACTACACCTGTGTTCCCTTTCTACACAGATCATGGAGCAAGAAAGCTGACGCCAAGCTGCATCCCAGTTCATCAGGGATGAGATATCTGTCAATGACTTGTGGCAGAGTGGCGTACTGGAATAAAAAGACAGAATCTCTTCTAGGGACAGTGTAAGAATAAATGAGATAACTCCCAGAAGTCGCTTGGAGCTGTTCTGGAAAAAGGGGCTGTGATTATCTAAGGTACGTGAACTACTCGTGGGTATAAATTTGTGTTTGTGGAAAGTAAACTGAAATCTCTATTAGCTAACAAGGACAGCTGTATCAGCACAAAAAGAAGGCAGAAAAGTGATTTCCTCTGTCCTCGCTAGTTTGCTCCTCCTAAGGGGTAAACACTTAGAGGCCTGGCAGAGATGACCTCAGGAAGTGGAACGATGCCAAAGGCTATTGATGTAAGAAAGAGCGGCTAATCCAGCTTTATATTTCTTTTTCTTTTAAGAAAGATATTCATCATGTGTATTCAGTAAATAACCTAGGACTGTATTTACTTGAATTTTATTATATTTACTTGTAATTGGATCCATAGCTTACCTGTTTGCATGGAGTAAAGGATATCAAATACATGGTTAGCATTTGGTTGTAAGCTGGCTTCTGGACTGGCCAAATTTTTGAACCAACCAAGGAGTATTTTTTTGTTTGGTATATCAACTGTTGCTAACTAGAAAAGCTGTCTAAAACTGTCTTAGTCAAGAAGGATGCTTATTGAACATAACAAGCAGTGCAAAGGTTGTTTGGGTACAATAACTGAATGATCCATCAAGAGCCCAGGGGTTTACCTGTCTCTGTGATCTGCCACCCTCAGTCTGTCAGCTTGCCCTCTGACTGTCATCTCTTCTGGTTGTAAGTTGACTGACGTAGTGCCATGTATCATATTCTGATGCAGTAAGGTCTGGGGACAGGGAATTCTGTCTCCTTGGTCTCTTTCTTAGGAGTAAAGAAACCTTCTACAGACACCTACTTACTTGGTGGACTTCCCCTCACCTTTCGTTGGCCATAACTGGACCACATACCTACCCTTTAACCCATGATTGGCCAAGGGGCTTGGAGGAGATACCTGGAGTGGAATGGATGTTGGGAAGTTGAACACACAATTTATTTCAGTTTGCAAACATACAGGAGAAAAATTCAGGCACTAATAAAACCAATGATGCTGGTTTGTCTATTAGGATGTTGGCTTAATTGTGGTTATTAGTTAGCACTTGTCTTTCTGAGCTTATAGCTGTCTGGTAAGAACAAAGTCACAGGGAACATCATTTTCTAAAAGCTAATTACTATTTCCAAGATAAAAACTGTTCTGAACATAGAGATGAGCTCATGCTTTCATACTCAGCCATTTTTCCTCAGAGGCATGACATTGAGTCCAGGTAGAGAAAGGCAGACGTAGATTCTCTCACTAAACAACCAGCAAACCATAAATAATACTTATGTGTGGACAATCACGTATTTAGTTAGCAAGAAAGGAACAATGGTACAGAAAGTCTACATTTCATTTGTATCCGGCCCTGGCATAGTGGTGTCTTTTCTCTAGTTTCTTCCTTGATAGGTTTCTTCAGACCAATAGTAATGATGAATTCCTTGACACCACACTGACAGAAAGAGGTACATGATACAGCAGAAGCTAGTCTAGGCTTCCAATTTACCTTTAAATAACTCCAAAGTGTTTAACACACATGTAAATGTGTATCTATTAGATGTGGGTTTTATGTTTTTTATTAATTCATTCCTGCTTTTTTTAGTCATACAACATTACATTACAACAAAGGTGAGGACAATATATCCTCATTTCTTAGGTTGCACCACCCCATTCATAACATGGGGCTCTATACATAGTCATCTCCCAATGAAGTAGCGGGCTTATCCTAATTCTGTTTCAGAAAACATGCACTAAAAATTTCATTTTGCATATTTGGGGCCCACACTTTTTCTCAAACTACTAGGGTTCAAATTCTGGCTCCTTGACCTACTACTTTTGTAAGTTGGACAAGTTATCCAGTTTACCTGAACACAGGTTTTTTTGATTTGTAAAATGGGAATCATGATAGTACCAACCTTTTAAGATTATAAGGATGATTAAGTAAGCTGGTATGCAAAAATTACATGACAGAGTGTCTGAGACACATCAGTCATTCAGCACTTTCATCTATTATTATTTAATCCTCAAAACCATCTAGTTAGATCAGTACACCACCTGGTATTATTTCAAAACTGTTTTGAAATATGGAAAATAATATTTAATTCTGCCTTGGAGAGTGTCCAATGGTCATCATAATGTGCTGAGTGCTCTGTGTATGCCTTCAATAATATATTATGCTCTTCATCACATATGTTGTGTGAGAATATATGGTAAATACTAGACAATCATTAACCCAAACATTAATTAACCTTCATCAATATAAGGGTAGTTAATTGGCCCATCTTGTCTTTTATATGATGCCCTTCCTATTATAGTCTCTTTTGTTAATACCAAGAAAACACAACATCCTTTCCTCATGGACGCAGTCTTTCCCTGACAACTCTCTCTTCTCCTCACCAAGAACTTGAAAATATTTTGTGGATTTTTTTTTCCCCTGATCTATCAAGTTGTATGACACAGAGCAACTTTGCATCCTTGAAGATGGCAAGTTTACAGCTTCTGGCATAATTTTGTTGTGGGAATAGACCAAAACACTGATGCTGTCTGTACAATAAGGAAAGAAAAAGAGAGAGAGAGAGAGAGAGAGAGAGAGAGAGAGAGAGAGAGAGAGAGAGAGAGAGAGAAAGGAGAGACTATTGATACTAACAGGTTATAGACCAATACAATTCGCCAAACTGTCTGCTATTCTGGAAAATTCAACAAAATGAGTATTCATGAGCTATCTGACTAATAATGAAAAACCCAAAAACTTTTGTCTTTGCCTCAGTAATGCCACAGCATATCCTAAATGTTTACCATGCTATTTTTCTCAGATTCTGATTCATTGACAAATATGGCTCATATAGTTTCAAAAGCTTATGTTAGTATCAGTATACAGATATGTGGGCCTAGAAAACTGAATTGAACTATGCAAATCTATTTTTCTGTAGTTATTTATATACAGTCTAGAGATTTAAAATCAAATCACACAATAGTAAGATTCAAGATAGAAATGTCAAGTATAATACGAAAAGTCAGTCAAGAATTCAATGTATGGAAAATGCTTTGTCTCAGAGTAAGAATTTGTATTTGTTAGTAGACATTTCAGTGAAGACTACTTATTACAGTTTCTCTGTGCCTGTTCCGATTTACTTTAAAGGCAGGAAATTGGACGAATGGTCATAGCCAATGTGTGCCTTTTAATTAGCATTTGGGAAATTCCTCTTTTGGCCTTCATGTAACTATTCTGATTTCATTGTATGTGTTCTCTCTCCTTAAAAATGGTAGTCAATTTTTCTTGAGTTCTCTTCACCTTTCCAATTTTTCCCTGGACAATGTAATGCATATTCATAACTTCAGTTTCAATCATTGATTTGTTAACCAATATCTTCCCAGCCCTGATGGCTTTCCTGAGTATTGGACCCATATTTTAACTCCACACCCAGTTGTATCACTGGTATCTCAAACTAAATCAATCCCAAACAGAATTTGCTATTGTACCCTACAAACCTCCACTTCTCTGTTGGATGAATGACAACTTGTGACTTAAATCAGAAATCTGGGAATGAGCTTAACCTCATAACATTCCTTCTTCTCCCCTCATATCAAGTCATCACAAAATCTCATTGATTTCCTCTCCCCTAGTTGCCTTGAATACAGTCGTTTGGCCGTGGTTTGTCTTCTCCCTCATTTATTAATGGCCTGCCATCTTCGGGGTACTGTGCTCACCCTCTAGGTGCATTTTCTCACTTAAGTGTTACATTAACTCTACAAAGTGCATGCTATCCTTGCTATCAGTACCTCCAAATAATGCAGATAATGTGCAAATAGGGAACCCGAAGACTATAAAGGATAAAAAACATGTCCAAGGTCACATTGCTAGAACACAGCATCGGTCAAGGCTTGAATACAGTCCTGATTGCCAAGTCTATGCCCTTAAATAGTAGAGCTTGGGTCAGAATCTCTTGTCCTCTCCCTTAGACTACTGGTATTCATCTGTTTCCTTCTAGGGCAGCTGTTCTTGAAGGGTGCTTTGCAGACAACTGGGGGCTCTGAATCCCTTTCAGGGGGGACTGTGAGGTCTAGATTATTTTCTTAATAATGTCAAGATCCATTTGCCTTTTTTCATTCTTTTGGCATTTGCACTGATGCTGCAAAAGTCATGGGGGCAAAACTGCTAATGGCTTAGCAGGAATCAAGACAATGGCATCAAATTGTAGTAGTTCTTGTTTTCTTCACCACACACTTAATGTAAGAAAAAATGCCAGCTCACGGAAGAAAATCTTTATGAGGCAGTAAATATTGTTCATTTTATTAGCTCTTGAGCCTAAAGAACACGCATTTTTAATATTCTATATGATGAAATGGGAAGAATACATAAAACATTTCTGCTGCATACTGCAGCACCATGATTGTCTCAAGAAAAAGCACTCGTGTGATTTTGTGAGTCAGGAGCTAAATAAGCCACTTTTTTTTTCATGGAACACCATTTTCACTTGAAAGAAGAACTGACAAACTACAGTTACTCATACGCAGGTATTAAGCAGATATTTTCTCAAAAAAGAACAAAGGAAAAGCCTGTCACTTCAGGAAAAGCAAATAACAGCATTTGTTGACAGTGTTAAAACTGGAGCTTTCAAGTGGAAATTGGAATTTTGGAAAACTATTACCTGTCACTGGGAGCTTGACAACCTCCCCAATACATTATGACTTTCTCATCAGATCAATGATGATATTATATTAACAGGTGTGATTTTTGAGTGTTATATAATAAATATATCAAAATTTGGGAAAACTGCATAATAATGTGCCGATATTTTTCAAATGATTCATGCATGATGGTACAGAATCCATGCAAAGGACAAGATTAGTCAAAAGTTCACTGATACAGTTTCATATTCCACATTGACACTAATTTAAGAAACTATCATTTGTAGAGTTTTGGTGGGTACAGAAGAATATTCACAATTGCCTATAAAAGCAATTAAATTAAAATGCTCCTTTTCCAGCTAAATGTGTGTGTGTGTATGTATATATATATGTATATATATATACACACACACACACACACACACACATATATATATATATATATATATATATGAGGATTTTCTGTGTGTACTTCAGTCTAAACAACATATCACTACAGATTGAACTCAGAAGCACATATGAGAATCTAGCTATATTCTATTAAGTGAGACAGTAAAGAGATTTACCCAAATGTAAAACAAATTCATTCTTCTCACTTAATTTTTTTTGTTTGGTTTAATATAGTTATGTTCACTAAACATCTGTTTTATACATAAACATATTAGGGTTTATTATTAAGTTATTTAATTAAAGTTTTTAAATATTCTATTTTAATTTAAATAATGGTAAATATGGGGAGATAAGTCCCCCCATAAACAAAAGTTCTATGAGGTCATTATCATTAATAATTTTAAAATTATAAAAGGATCCTGAAACCAAAACTTTTGAAAACCCTTGCTCTAGGATCATTCCCCTCCTGTCTACACTTCACACTGCCAGCATCTTTCTAATCTTCAATTTAATCATGTCACTCCACAGCCATGGCTTACCTTAGTGGACTGTACAAGACATTTGGTCATCTATATTTATCCTGCCTAACTTTTCAGTCCTTTCTAAGTTTACCACTCCCTCTTGGGCTGGTTGGTCTTCACACATAATAAACTGCTTATAGTTCCTTCAAACTCCCCATGCTCTTTTGTATTTCTGGGTCCATGCACATGCTGTCTTACTTCTTAGAGGTTCTACCTATCCTCCCCAACTACCACCACCACAGCTAGATAGTTGGTCAAATCCCAACCAGTCTAAGAAACCTACCCCAATATCACTTCTTCAGGGAAGCTTCTCTGAAACATCTCTCCCTTCCCTGGGCAAAATAAATTGCTCCCTTTTATGGAGTGCAGACAATAGCCAGCTGTGTATAATTGTATTATCATTATATGTATAAACATCTGTCTCTCCCACTGACCGTCAGCTCCTCAGGGCAGGGACCATGGGTTCCTAGCTCAAGCACAGCTTTGATGCATAGTAGTCCCTCAATGAATGTTTCCTGAATAGATGATCTCAATTCCCTTCCAGGTTTGAAATTCTATAATAAGATATTTTGATTCACAATCTTTTTTACTGATTAGCAGAGGGATGCTTTTGCTTTACTCACACACATGCACACACACACACAGACTCTTTGGTTTTTAATCAAAGAGTTCATCTCAGATCTTTTTTTCTTTGTCCTTGCAAGGACAGCTCTGGAGAAAATTTGGTATATTAAATTTGATGTATTTTAATAAATTATAATGCACATATATTCATTAATAATATATATTCCACACCAATGCATCGGTAGGAATTAATTTTTAAAAGTCTGCTTTAATAGGGATATAAAATTATGTAAGAGCTCTGTATAACAGGCTCACAAAGAACAAGAAAGAAGAGGAAAAATATTAAAATAGAACTTCCAAAGAACTATGAGATGTTTCTAAACAGCAAAGCTGCAGGTGAAGGCGTGAGAAACTCTCCTCATTGTAATCTTTAATGTCTCAGCCTATCCAAATAGTTGCCCTTGCAGAGGAAGAGGAGAAGCTAAGAGCCTGGAACTGGGCTGTCTTCTCAGGATATAAGAGACAATAACATGGGAATCTCAAAAAGACTTCTTTACTTCCTTCTGTCCAAGACTCAAATTCTTTGTTCTAGCCTTGATAAGTGAACATGAAGGTAAAGGATTATTTTAAAATACATTTTCATGATTTTATGACAGTCCTGGTTCCACGTCATCTCAAAGAAATCAGTAATCTTAAAGATTATTGAAAGTATTCCACATTAGATAGTTTTAACCTAATTTCATTTTAAAGATTGGCAATCAGGAGACTCCAATTAAATGAGTAAAATCATTATTTCTTTATGGCAAAGTGTTGCCATATTTATGATAAGGCCCTTCGATAGCACTGAGGTTGAGGAAGGTGAAATGACATGGACAAACTATTATTGGCAGACTCAATACTAACTCAGTCTCTGATTCCAATTGCTACCTATTTTCCATTCCACTGTCAATAAAGAAACCCAAATCATTTCAACTAAATGCTTAAATACAAAAGTAACCTTATTCTTGCCTAAGAAAGCAACCATATTTCACAGAAATTTCTTAAAATGTGTTTGTCCTGCTGTTTCATCTTCACTTAGCACTTGGGAAGAACCATATCCATTCAATTCACGACGGTGATGAGAGACAGATGTATTGAGTTGTCGGAAAAGTCATGGCACATTTTTGCAACGAAAAACGTAGAAAAAATGCGTCATGACTTTTCCGACAACCCAATATTACACACCTCTGGGTATTTAGGGCTTGCAGTTAAGGTCAAGCTCCTTCCACACTCAAAAGTAGAAAAGCTGTGATTATTCCACAAAGCCTAGAGCTCAGTTGACTAATTGGCCATGGAAAATGACATAAAACAGCTGAAAACATTAATTCTATTACTTTGTGCCATTGGCCGTAAATTTAAAAGGCACAAAATAGATAATTGATTGACTTTTGAGTAAAATAGAATAACTGTTCTCAAACCTTCTGATTTATAGTCACATACCGCTTAATGGAGTTCGGAAAAAAAAAAAAAAGCCCTGTCCCACCTCAAATCAGAAGTCCTTTTCTAGAACTAGTAGGGAAAATAATGGTACAGTTTTTTGACAAGTCTGATATTTTATAACTTATTTAGAATATACCTTCATAGTAGCAAGGATATAATAACAATGTCATATTATAAATACAAATTCACTAAAAATATACAGCTATTAAAATCCTTTTTGTCATTGGAACAAAACAGAGAACCAGTAACTCATATAAACTCAAAAACATATAGTAACCTATATAATTTTTCCTCAATTACTATGAGATCTAGAACTTCTCATTGACTGTAAGCTCAGTACATCAGTGCAACAAACTGCTCATAGTCAGAAAGCCATTTAGGGATAAACTACTATGGAGACTAGAATAAGTGCAGGGGTGGAGGCAGGTGGGTGGCTGGGGAGAGGGAAAATGTCACAGATGACTGAAGATACTTTGATGCTATGGTTTCATTTTAGATCGTTCTGAAAGATGACTGATGTACTCATATTTTGTTGTTATTGTTTCTATTTTCTATCTTGATTTTTAAAACGTGGTTTTTGACACAATGCAAAATAACTGTTAACTTATGTTTCAAAATTTATGTAGCTGATTTCCCGTATTTGTGACAGTTCTGTCACACCTCCAGCAGACAGAATTTGTCTGCCTTCCCTGGGAAAGTGAGCAGGGCCACTCCACATGCCTGCCTTTTCTCCTGTCCTCTCTCACCAGCTGGTAGACATGTGAGAATGTGCCCTGGACTCTGCACTTCCCAGCCCATTCCTGAGGCTCCGTGGTCCACTGTGGTCCCAGCAAATAAAGACCTATTTAAAGGAGAGAGGATTGAATTGTGAGGATGCTTGAAACCGCAACAGAAGAAATGGCTGGAGGAATTGAAGATAATTAGATTATGATAATTGACACTAACATAGTGTTTACTAATTCCAGAAACTATTCTAGACACTTAATGTAAATTAATTCACTTATTGTAAGGATAAGGTCCTTACAATGACCTGGGAGGTCAGTTTTCATATTATCCCATTTTGTAGATGAAGACTGAAGCACTGAGGAGCTACATTTTGCAAAGTCACATAGCTCCGACATGGCAGAGCCAGGGTTTAGAGGGAATCTAGCTCCAGAGCACAGTCCATGCTTTTAACCACCACACCAAATGAAAGATTCAGGAAGAATATGAAAATTGCCTTGAAATAGTTGAAGAGCAGTAAGCTTTTTGCTGTGCCTCAAAACATGCCTCAGAAGGATCCAAAGCGAAAAGCTAAAAAGAAACCGAGTTTTGACTTCCCTGTCGCTGCTGGTGGTCAGACCTTGTCTGGAGAACAAGTGGTCAATGATGCCAACAAGCAAAACAGCGGTTGGGTTAAGCAAAACTTCTTTCCTATCCTGAGATTTTATGAGTCAGGGCTATACTATTGCATTCTCACCAGTATTTCTTTATTTGGAGTGTTTGTAAGATGTGATAAAAAGAGGGGAGAGAGTATTAAGTACTTTATTGACAAGCATCACTGGCATTCCTCTTTTACCAAAAGGATACTAAGTATATTTTGGCTCAAAGGTCTCAGAACAGACTTGTGATAGAGTTGTAAATTTGGCTTATTGAAAATTAGATTGAATGATGACGTTTCCAAGTTAAAATTTGTAATGCAGCACAAAAAGCACTACTTTATGTTTATACTTTTAAAAACTCACTACAAGAAATATTAAATAACATCCTGGTTGATTTTCTTAATCCCTTTCCTTCACTTTCTTTCCTCTCTCTCATGCGTGTTATTTTTTTTATTTTATTTTTTTGGTAGGCAATTCTTATGCAAAAAGCTAAACGTAATTAAATGTGCAGGATGAAAAGATGGCACAGGCACTGCTGGTACCCCCGGGACCTGAAAGCTTCCGCCTTTTTACTAGAGAATCTCTTGCTGCTATCGAAAAACATGCTGCAGAAGAGAAAGCCAAGAAGCCCAAGAAAGAACAAGACAATGATGACGAGAACAAACCAAAGCCAAATAGTGACCTGGAAGCTGGAAAAAACCTTCCATTTATTTATGGAGACATCCCTCCAGAGATGGTGTCGGAGCCCCTGGAGGACCTGGACACGTACTATATCAATAAGAAAGTGAGTGTGGATTTTACACTTCTGAAAGTTGAGTTATACTTCCAAAGTTAAGTATTTAACTACTTAACTTCAATATACTTTTCTCAGGCTCATATACATATTGCATCATCATTTAAAGATTTTATAGAATAATAAATAGAAACATTATCTGAAATGAAGTCAAAATTTGGCTACAGTGAAGAGATATGAAGAGATGAACCATTCCAACAATTTCACAGTAACTGAAATAGCCACAATTAAAACTGACTTCAACAAAGCAAAACATCTGTTATCGCTGACATATTTAAGCACATGGTACACAATAGAATCATAGCCAGGCAGGAGAAGACTTTAGGGCTGATATACTTCTTAATTTTTAGTTCTTACACGGCTTGGGTTTCTTCATAACACATTTGTATTCTAGAGAGCAATAATCTTTTACTTAGAATGCTCCTAGAGGAAAATGACACATTGAGAAGCACGTTCACCCAGAGATGCATTTTTTTTTTTGGTCCACTAATGTGAAATACGATTTGGAGCGCCTCTGACCTTACTTCATTTGTGACAGGCTAGATTTGGAACACCTACATATTGTTAAAACATCACAAGGTGATAAACAGTTATCACTGTGCCTTCCTAGTGCTAGAATAACCACAATTTTGTCAGAATTAGTTATTTTTTTAAGTTAAACAAGCTGTGTAATATTTTATAGGATATATATATATATATATATATATATATATATAAATGATAGATTCTATGCTTTCTAATTGAGTCTCTCAGATTCATAAGCATAAAAACAGGTTTATGTAGAAATAAAGATAAATCAATATCACCATGAGTTGATGGGTTATGGATTAAAGCTGTTGAACGCCTTTATTAGTCAAAGGCAGCCATTTTATAAGAAATGGCTAATGAAACTGCATTGTTTAAGCATTATACAATTTAACCTTATAAGATAAGTAATGGCTAAAGAAACTGATAATCAACCATTCAGACATGGAACTATCCCCATTGCTCAAAAAGAGTGCTTCCCAAACTTGCATGTGCATACTTACCACCTGGGGCTATTGTTAAAATACAGATTCTGTCTCACTCTGGGTGGTGAACACACAATGTGATATCTAGATGCTGTATTACAGAATTGTATACTTGAAACCCATGTAATTTTACTAACCATTGTCATCCCAATAAATTTTAACTAAAAAAATACAATGAAGTACAGATTCTGGTTTCATAGATTTGGGGTATGGCCAGAGAGCCTGCATTTCTCACAGCTCCCGAGTGAGACTCGTGCTGCTAGTATATGGGGCCACACTTTGAGTAGCAAGCTTTAAAATGTTTTTTTTTAAGCTATAAAACAAAATTAAATAGTTAAACAGGCCCTTTCTTTTTCCTCTTAAACTAGTTTCATGAAAGGTGGCATTTAGTATATATTTCTAAAAATGATTTATTCCAGCACTTTACTATAGAATTGAGGAAGAAAATGTTGATGTTTAGTTGCTGTATTATGACACACAATGATGACAGTGAGACATCCCCCAAGAAACTCGAAGGTGATTCTCCTCTGAAAACTATTGATTTAAAGTATGTATTTGCAAAGATACCTGCAAGAGATAGGGTATCACTTACTCTGACATGACCAAACGTGTTTGCTACTTAAAGAAAGGAAGTATTTTTACGTAAGGGAATTAGTAAGATTGGGTGGGGGAGAATAATAAAGAGATAAACATTAGCAATTGCCAAGGGAGACAGATCTTTAGTAGTAGCCCTGAAGGCATTTTCCTCCAAAATTGAAGGATGATGCTTCATTATAGAGGGACTACATTGGACTACCTAACAGAGGTGTTGTAAAATATTCTGAATCATTTAAGTCAGATTGTTTTCACTCCAACCTCAGCAAAGAACCTTCTTACTGTAATTTGTCTCCCCATAGATCTGCTTAAAAGGAAAGATTGTGCTAGTTACACCATTGCAATTATTTCAGTCCATGCGACAGCACTATGCCTCATTGTAAATAAATAGATTGGCATTCTGATTTTATAGGCCAGGCTTTCAAGCTTGGTTGATGAGAGCCTGCCGCTTGGAAACAGAATCGTTCCGTGTGTGCTAACAAAGCCAGTTTTTATTGCCTCCCTGCCTGAGAACGAGGCTTGGACCTTGATTTATTCATACTGGCTCTGACCAACCTTGAGAGACATCTAGACTGTTTACTCATTAATACTGGCTGCGCTGCTTTCCTTTATGAAATGTCTATAAAGATGAAGATCGAGGTGGTATTGAAGAAAAAGGTACTTTGTTATCCTTAGGATAGTAGGAGCTAATGTAAGAAGCTAACGGAGAAGTTCTGGAATTCAAAAATGTGGTATGATGCTGATGTTAATTATGAAATAATGTAGATGAAAGGCATTTTAAAACTGTCAAGTATTATGTAACTGTTTGTTAAAGATACAGTTCCATATCTAATTTAATCGGATGAGCAACATCACAATGTATTTTAATGGCATTTAAGTTGACCAGGTAGTAAGAACAGTGACAGTGATAATAATCACCGACAGTTGTTGTGAACATCCTTTGTCAGGCACTGTTGGGTATAACTCAAAGATAGCTCATTCACTACTCAAAGAACCAGTGAGCCAGGTACTATGTTAGCCTCGTTTTACAGATAAGGAAGTGAAGCCCAAAAAGGTTAAGTAACTTTCCCAAGATCACACTTCATAAATAGTGGACTCAGGATTTGAACCCAGGCAGGCAGGCTCCAGACCCAGAGCTCTTAACCACTAAGTAAAACTATGCATGGTGTTTATTAATATAATGAAATAAAATGTTAAAAAGATGGTTGTATAATTTTTTTGAATTCTCATATATGTATGTGGTCCTATTCAGAGATAGAAAGCTCTTTTTGCCTCAAGTACTAAAATTTTTAGTAAACCTTTGTAAGATGTTCATTTACCTGGGAAACAGAAGCAAGCGGCATTCCAGAGTGGACAATAACAGTTTAACATACTTCCAGCTATAATATTCATCACCATAGTAACAATATATAGTAATATACTATATATTGTTTAGTAACAATATACAGTACTATATTTTTTTAAGTCATATCATTACTTATTACTACTTGAAGACCAGATTTTGTTATTGACACTAATTATCCCTCCTCCATTTATCTGTCATTCTCTCAAGTATTTCACTTTAGGTACATCTCTCAATAACAGCAGAGCCCCAAATTTCAAATGCCTTTCTTATAATTCTTTCATTATACAGGGCATTAGTATTTTATTCTTCATTTCTCAGAACTCAAGGTTTTCTTTGTGTCAGTTTTTGCTCTCCAGAAATACACTGGCATTTTGTTCTTAAGGCCTGCTAATTCAATGAGGCTGTAAATTCAATGAAGATGTCCTCCGAATGCCATTGTTAATCCCATTAGTTTCCCACAGGCTAACCTTGCAGGAGCAGCAGAAGATTCCATGTTGAAAGGGACAGTTCATTTCTGTTCACTCTGTTATTGGAGATTTTTCAAAATAAAAGTCTTCTCATGTTACAAGTGGCAATTGCTTTTTCAGGGAAATTGTTTCAAAAACACATATGTAAATATGCCATAAATTATAGTGAACTTCACATGTGACTGCTATAATTGAATGCATAATGGATTTAGATGGTTTGGCTATATCAAATGAACTAATCCTGTGAATTCAAGAAGATTCTTTAATGTGTTTGTGCTTCAAGGGCAATCTTCCCAATACCCACTGTCCCCTGTGGTAACCCCAGTGCTACTAAAGAACAGTTTAGTTGCCTTCATCATAGAATTGTTCAAATTTAGAGTGTGCAGCTCATGGGAAATTGTTGGGTAGGTATTGGTTGGCTCCATGGTCTTGCATATGAAAAAGCGATGTACAGAGAAATAGTTTTCTCTGAGTATTTCTCTGACTTTTATACTCATAACATAAGTATTTCTGACTACCTATTCAAACAGAACATGTCAGTAAACATGACTGTATGGCATATAGCTCTTAGTTAAAAGGTAAACACATATTATTAAGTAAATGGATATATAGATGTCTTAATGGTAAATGGCATTTTAAAAGTAAATCCACATTACATGCTTAAAACAAGTATTTATTTGCAAATCACACTATTAAATACTGTGAAAGAAAAAAAGTGAAGAAAAAGTAGATTGCAGACTCTTTATGCTTAGTGGTTTATAACAATTTCTAACCTAGTCTTCAATGGAATGAACCCTACATGTAGATTGCTACTTGCCTGTAATTACAAGCAACATGCCAACGTATGCAAGTTAATATGCCAAGACTTAACTGGGAAAAGAAAACAATTAGGGAGTGATCGGAACGCAGTGTGATTTATCTGGAAAGACATGATGGAGGAGGTGATTTTAATAGCTGAGGATATTCCCAGAGAGTAAGGGTTTTCAACCCTGAGTATTAGAATAACCTGGGGAAAATTTTAAACCTAACTATGGCTTTGCCCAACCCCCAGAATATTATCAAGTTTAAAATCACCCCAGGAGAGTCTAACATGCAGACAGGGCTAAGAACCTTTGATATAATAAGTCACTGTAGGTGGGACCTTATTGCCAGGTCTGTTATTGACGTGAAAAGGGGAGGAGTTTGCATAGATGACCTCTCCAGCTCCTCCTTCCGCTAGAATTCCATGACACTCATTTTCAGTCAGAGGGAGAAGTTGACAGGTTGTGAGTGGGATTGACAAATGGGTTGAATTGGGTGGAGCAGATGCCTTGGTGGGAAAAAAAAATAAAAGATGATCCTAGAGAGATGTGGTAGGTAATCACTGGGTAGCATAGCTTAAACGCTAAATTGATGATTACAGGTTTCAGATTATGGGATTTTTGCCATGGAATGCCCTTTGAAATGATGTATTTCAGGTTAATTTTCAATGCAGCTGTCCCTTCTCAGTGTTACCAGCTGATCTATAGAATCAGCATAACCAGGTTATTCAGCCTGTTGGAACATTTTAAAGTAGGACAACTACCACAGAGAAAATAGAGAGCCTTCATAAACATTGGAGTTAAAAGACTTTGTGTATTTAAAATGTTTATAAAATATTATTTTAATAGCAACATGTACAGAATAAACTGAAAAGTTACCAAAGCTGGAGACAGATGGTGAGCTTTAAATAGAATTGGAGTCTGTAGTTACCTTGTAACTTGGTAAAAATGTTGTGTATGATATTAATTTATATCAGGAAGCTGAAACCTTAGACAGATTAGATAATAGTAAGTCATATTTTTATTTATAGATATGTTAATTCAAGGGACAAACATCTAACATGTTTATGGTATGATATACCAACTGGTTTAAACAAAGAAGTTTGAACAAAAAAAAATCAGGTAAAAAGTTATTCATGTGTATAAGCTTTTCAAATAAACCTCATGTCTAAAGTACTAATTTTTTTTCTCATTTTCTTTTTCAGACTTTTATAGTATTGAATAAAGGGAAGGCAATTTTCCGATTCAGTGCCACCTCTGCCTTGTATATTTTAACTCCGCTCAACCCTGTTAGAAAAATTGCTATTAAGATTTTGGTACATTCATATCCTTTTCATGTAAACTGTCTAAATGTTGCTTCTAGTGGTTGATTTTATACAAAATATCATTCTTTCTTTTAAAATATATATAAAATTTCTTTTAGATTAATGGTAATGTTGCTGTTTAACTTGTTCTTATTCTCTGCTACTTATAACAAAATTATTATAGAATCACTATTCTATTTATAGAATATTATAGGATGACTATTGTATTATAGAATGATACTAGAAGTAAAAATGCAACTATGATAGTAAATATGTAAATGAAACACAGCTTATAGTAGGAACAGCAGCAAAGCTTCACATTTTTATTAACCTCAATTAGACCATATATAACCATTGCTAAAGAAATATAGTATTATTATCTACATTACTAAATGTTCAAACTTTTTTGCCTTAATTGGTTCTGTATCTTCAGCACCTGGGTCCATCTTTCCTTTCTTCCTTCTTTCCTTCCTTCCTTTCCTTCTTTCCTTCTTTTCTGCCTTCAGGAAATATTTATTAAACTACTATGTACATATGTATCTAATTGATAATATACATATGTAAAAATCATTAAACTTAAAACTAGTTATAATGATCATCAAAAAGTATATGGAAAATGACAGAAAAGGTGTGAATTTCAAGATAATTCTCAAATAAATAATGACAGAATAGAAGGTGATCTTCTGAGGAAGTGTTCAAGAATGGGCATTTTATATAGGCAGATTCAAAATAGGCTTATATAAAAACAAAAAGAGAGACAAAAGACTGGTTATCCTAGAGATAGGGCAAATAGAATGATACTCTTTTGAGATACATTTGAATTCTCTCCTTCAATGGTTTGATATTGGAAAGTATTCATATTTTCAAATAAAAGATTTACCTCAAAATAATCTTAAGCTTTCTTAAAGTGAAGTCTGGACTGAGATCCTACAGCAAAATTATTTCACTAATTCTCAGGAAGATTTCAAAATTGTTTTTATCTGTTTAGTCACTATCAGGCCACCAGAGTACCTCATTACAGTGGAATACTTAATGAGTACTTAATCAGTGTAACCCTTGAATCCACCAGGCTATCCATTCTCGGGCTTTTTATTTTGTGTTCATTAACAGTTTTTCAGTCAGTGAATATTTTAAATTATATCTGAGATACCAACTTTTACACTTGTATTATTCTGTAAATTTACTAAAGAATGTTAATTTCCCCTTGCAGTGCAATTTCATGAAACTCATTGGAATACAAAATTCCCATTTACTTCAAATAGAGATCTCTTTCTATTAAATTCAGTTTTGTGAGGAAAGAATGTAAAATGAAAAAAGAGTGGACCAAGAATATATGACAGATTTTGAAGTTCCTTATTATTTTTGCCATTGTTTTAAAACAAATAAGATTAATTTCACAGATAATTTGTGTTGGTAATTTTTTTATGTGTGTGTTGGGTCATTTGTAAATGGCCTTGATAATGTACTAGCATTTATTCCTTAACTAATCTACTTTATTCAGCATGCTTATCATGTGCACTATTTTGACCAACTGTGTATTTATGACCTTGAGTAACCCTCCAGACTGGACAAAGAATGTAGAGTAAGTAAGAATGACGTCTTGCAATGAGAAATGCACACTCAAATTTTCTAGCAATCTCCTTATGGTATGGTCTGACTTATGGTTTTCACTTTTTGAATTCAGGCTATCCACTTCTATGAAAAAGTTGTTTTCATAATATGAAAGAAGACAAGGGAAGTTCTTTGGGGGGTGGGTGGGGATTTCTTCTATGAGGCAAGTGTATTTTTCCAACAGATTCAAGATAGTATCTATTTAAGAAAGGCTATAAATAGTATACACTAGCTGGTAAACTAAACCAAGCATTTAGCATAAAAGTTAATATTCAATCACAGTTATGTATTTTAGATAAAAAACAATGACCATTAGAGTAATTTGATGAATAAAATTATTTTATTCTAGTATATTCTATTATTGTTATATTCTGATGAAATAGGTTTAGGTGTTTAGCTCTATATTATTACAGTAGGCATTTTGGTTATATGTTATATTTAGGAAAAATAAATTTAGGTATTTAAGTTACTTAGATGTTTGGTTATATTTAGACATATAGTTTATTTAGACAGGGCATGTGTGCTAAAACACCACAGATGTGTTCCATAAAAGAAATAAAACATCTTTGAAAAATCATGTTCAAAAAATAACAAGGCTTAAGGGAAAAGCATCATAAAGGGAAGATCTCTCAAAATTTATGAAACTTTGTAATTAGAACACTAATTAAAACAATAATAATCCCAATAAAAAGATCCTGGTCCAGGTAAATCTCTCTAGACATTTGTACCTAAAATCATGGCTGGCAATTCCTTTGCAATCTCAGTCCCTGGGCTTCAGCCTTTTTCCCTTGATATGGAAACCCTAGAATGTCATCATGATAAAACATTTGATTCAATATTTTAATACAGAGGCACCATAGTTCTTGGGCATGTTAAACTAGCCCCTGTTTACACTAAAGAAGGCACGTCTGTCAATTTTCCACTTTAGTATTAAGGTCTTCTTTCATTGCTAATGATAATCTAAAGTGTGGGAAAAAGACACCCCTGATTGTTTCAAAACTATAACTGTATATACCAGAGAAAACTGTGCATTAACTAACACAATTTCTGTATTATAAAATTATTCTCTAATTTATCAGTCATATATGAGGTTATTCATGATAAAGAAACATGTGGGGGTTTGTGTGTGTGTGTGTGTGTGTGTGTGTGTGTGTGTGTGTGTGAAACAGGGGGTTGTTTAGGTTTTATGGGCTGTTTATGTATAGTATAGTACAATAATTAGGCATTTTGTTTAGTGAAAAAAAATTTAGTGTGATCTTTTTATTGTTATATTTTTAAATGTAACGTCTGATGGGAGATAAGTCATGATAAATACTGCCACTTTCATTTCTAAGAATTTTTATAGATTTCTAGGAACATTTATTGCACCATCCTAAGCTATCATTTGCCAGTGATTTTGAAGATTTTTTTGTTTAATAGTAGCTTGGAAATGCTCCCTAGAAATCATGTCAGTAAAGAATCCAGTGCTTATATTGAAGCAAGCCATTTAACAAAATTCTCAGTTACCACTTATGATTTGGAGGTTAACAAATAGACACACCTATATAAAACTATTCTGTATGTACTTTTCCCAACAAAAATTATTGTAGCATTTAATTATGTATACTTATCTCTCATTTGTGTATCATTTTTAAAAGATAGGTAAAGGGGATACCTGAACATTATTACTTGAATTTGCAGGTCTCTCTGTGTAAAGTCATTTTTAGAGTTGACTATATCGATTATGAAAATAGTCATAGCCTTGCAAAAGTTTTTGACCTACATCTTTCATTTGGGAAACTTTTCACAAGGCTCCTGATCAATTATCTCTAGTCACTTGACAGCAAGGCAGCAAGAAAGCAAGCAAACTATTAATGGTTACAGAAAAAAACAAAACAAACAAACAAACAAACAAACAAAAACACCCAAAATCCAATGAAAAGAAGACTCAGTTTGTTACCCTGCAAAAGGTCCGGCTGCTACCTGCAGAAAAGCCAGAACTCGAGAGGCGGAGTTGGTGGAAAGGAAAGCAGGTTTTATTCCAAAATGCCAGCATTAAGGGAAGACAGTGGACTTCCTGTCACAAAAACTGCCTTCCTGCTTTTAATATCATTGAAAGGTTTTATAGACACACAAGGATGGGTAGAATAAAGGAAGGAGAATCTGGCCAGGCAACTTCAGGAAAAAGCACTTCCTAGAGGCTGGTCTGCCCCTTGGTCAGGAACGAACCTCATACAGATGCCAAAAAACCCTCTCAAGTTACTGGGCCAGGTGTGCATACTGGTCCAAAGTAAACAGAACCATTGGGACTGGTATGCGTAGTAAATGTACAGTCATCGAGGTTTGGTGGAAGGGGAGGGAAGAAAAGAAAGGAAAAAAAACTTTCGAAAAGTCCCAAGCCAAACCACTGTCAAATCAAATTACACCAGAAGTTTAAATTTCAAGAATAGAAGCTATAGGGTCACCGTTACAAGTTCACACATGAACACAGAAGTCATGGAGAGCAGAAACAGTCCCTATACAAAGAGGCGGCATACACAGATATGGCCTAAGGACCAAATTGTATAGTGCAGTTCACAGTATATAAGGCAAGGCACTTCCATAGACATAATTACAGGGGAAAAAAAAAACACAAAACCTCATGACAGGGACACAATCAACAGGATGATTAGGCGCCTAGTGGGCACAGAGCCAAGAAAGATCCGGTCTTGATTCTCACTTACCTGTTCAAATTAAGTTTGCTAATAGGCACTTCTGAACACCTGTTCTGTACAAAGCTCTGTCTCAGATGTTAAGCTCTAGGATTCTCTTCCTTGCATAGCTATCTACACTCACCACACACTCCAAAAGTCCTAACAACGTGTCTTCCTTTTGCAAAAAAAAAAAGAAAACAAAAAAGAATAGAAGTGGGGCCTTTAATCTTATTCCTAGTAACTCTGCAGATTACTTAGAATTGTATAAGCATTGACCATAGGACACTAACAATTGATATGATCAATAGAACATAATGTGAGCTGGCTCTTATGGCCTTTTTCAAGGCCAGCTATCTCTCCAAATGTCGCGGTGATTATGTGTAATACAAAGCCCCAAGCTAAAACACAAGTAAACATAAGCTTGACATTGTAAATTATATCTATAGCTACTTCCTAAGAAGTAAAGATAGCAATTATACATATTCCTTATGAAATCAACTGAATTGATTAAAAAGGAGAAGGAATATTCTTAGGAAACCTAGGTGTGAAGATTTCTCCACACGTTTTCCTCTGAGTTCTTTGTTTCTCATGTGAAAAAAAAATCTTCTACTGAAAATAATGCAAAAATAGCACTCCTAAATTTTTTCATATATAAAATTCCAGTAGGCTGGAAAATATAATGAATTTTAATAAGAGTAAATCATATCTTTGTGGCTTGAGTGAAATAATCTGAAGAATAAACTTAAATTGTACTTTTAAAAAGAACATAGTGTTGAAAATCAAGTACTTCAACTATTTTTGGAAGAAACAGAAATAACCTACATTGTCAACACTCAAAGGAAGGACTGGAAATGCGCTACTATATCAAACAGCAAACAGAAAGTCTTTCACCAGTTTGGAGGCTGGGAATTTTAATTTGAGCATGTTTGAATGATTCGGTCCAACTACGAAGAGATAGTAGCTCATGCAAGGTTAGTTTCAGGAATTTTGCTTCTCCCTGAATTTTGGTAATTGTGTACACGCACCTACACACACACACACACACACACACACACACACACACACACACACACTAGGTGCTCCAAAAAAATGTATATAAGTGGACACTTTGGTCAACGTTGCTCAAGCAGTAGTTCGCCGTAATCAGAAGTGTCTGGAC